ATTAATAGTCATTTAATTGTATTACTAATTTTAGAAATAATAGCTTTATTAGTTAGTTTATAGCATTATTTTATATCATTAACCCCTTCATAAGGTGGCTCTAAGTTTGTGTTACTAGTGATATTCTTAATAAGGTTTAGTTTGAAGATCTTAGAATTTATAGATGTACTTTGTGTTTTTTGAAACTTGCTCTTTTTCCGATTTGGTATGGCTCTGTTACACAGGAAATAAACGTTTTGTATAGTTTACTCACTCAAGAGCGTGAAGAACTTAAGAGGATAAAGAGCAGAGCGAATGGAGAGAGCGAGAGAAGAGCATTCTTATCCAAAATTTATCACGTATGAATCATAAAAATAAAAAAAATGATCGATTTACAAGAAGTTTTGTTTTTCAATTTTTATGCTTTAAATGATCAACATCTTGTGTATCAAGCGAACGAATAATGAACCTCAGAATAAAAATATATCACAAGACAATAAAAATAAGATTTTTTTTATTTATAATACAAATTACGTATATACATATCATTCATAAAATTTTAAATAACATCACATTATTAATATATCGTGATTTTTTTTAAAAATGAAATATTACGATTTAGTAATAATTTTTGGGCAATTCTACTTAAAAGTAATATCGTGATCAAATCATTTAACACGAGATTTCAAATCTCGATTTATATTTTTTGATTAGTTTTCAAAAAATAATAATAATAAGTAATAATAAATAAATCATGAGCAATTGTTAAAAAAGTGATATCGTGATCAAATCATTTAATACAAGATTTCAAATCTCGATTTATATTCTCAGGTTAGTTTTCAAAAATAAATAACAAGTAATAAATAAATAAATAAATAATAAATCATGAGTAGTTATTAAATTAAATATATCAAAATAAATTACGAGTAATTATTAAATTAAATATAACAACATTTATATGCTGTGATTTTAATAAATAAATTAGTTAAATGTTGCAAATTTAATGATTTCTAGACAATTCTAATTAAATGTAATATCATGATTAAATTGTTTAACAAGAGATTTCAAAACTCGATACATATCTCCAGATAATTAAATTAATTCTAAATATATCGAATTTTTCAAATATATATATGTGTAAACGATGAATCGTATTTATTATTATTAGTAAAATTTGTTTTAATTGCTTTGTAAAAATGACATCGATCTTTGTTGCTGTTTCTTTCATCGAAACTGTCTTGGGCACCTCAATTTTAACTGGTATTGCTACATATAGGATTGGTTATGATGAATTCGTGCATTATAATTACAAGGCATTCTCTTCCACTGACAATGAACACATGATTAACAGAATTCAACAAAACACAATTATGTTAATTATTGGAAGATTTGTCCTAGAAGACTCTCAATTGAATGTAAGAATTAGTAATATTTACTTCACAAAAAAAAATATATTTATGATAATAATAAACTAATAATAACTATAAGTAAATAAATAACAAACTAAAAAAAAAATTAAAAATAAAAAAAAATTAAGGTTACTATTACCCAAGCAATTTCATTAGATTTGAAAACTATTGAAGGACAACCGACGGTGTATGATCTTTCACAATGCCTACCGTTTGGAGCTTGTACTGCTCTGTGTAAATCTTGGGAAATTAATATGAACACAATTTCCTACTTTACATTGGAGCATAGGGCTTATAATCCTTTAACTACACGCTATGTCACTTCAGAAATAGCATGTTCGTATGATGCGGAAAGTTCAAGGCACATTGGTGTTCAAAAAGCATTAGAATCCAGGGCAATATTGTCTGTATGTGGTGAATTATACAAAGGAAATAACATGGTTCAAATTTTGACCTCAGAAATAGAATGGAACTATACTTACTCAACAAATAAAGGCAATGTGTTCTTGGAAAACACGAGTAATAGCAATAAAAAGCGAAATCAACATTTGATGAGCTATGAAGATAGGTATCAAAACAAAAAACCCAAAGTACAGCAAACAAAAGTGATAGTTAATGAGAATAATGAACATTCAGAAGAACAAAATCCTACCAATGAAAGTGAAAATAAAACCCCAAAAGAGAATGATGATAATATTAATTCGAAATCAAATATGTTAAAATCAGCCATGAAAAAAACTATGAAAAAATAAATTATTTGTAACATTCGATTAACAATTAAATAAATGCTTAAAAATAAATAAAATAAATAAAAATAAAATAATAAATTAACATTCAATTTTACTACTTCCTAATCTATAAAATGAAAATAAATAAAATTTAATTATAATGTAATTTAATCATATACATAATAAAGTAATATTTTATATCAGTAAAAAAAAAAAGGAGAAAAAAAGATTCGCTTACCAATCCTTATTTTATTATTTAATTCGTTACAAAAAAAAAAGCCAAAACTAAAACTTCTGATAAAAATCGAATCATTAAAAAGAGAATCATATGATGTAAAAAGAAAAGTCATAAATAGATAATGATAAATACAAAATGCTTATATAAACAAGCAAAAACAAAAAAACAAAAAAAAAAAAAAACTCAAACAACTTATCATTTAAAAATCTTTAATCATGCAAGAACAGACACTAACAACGCCCTCAAGAATCAAAGTTTTATCGATTATGATCTATGGGAAATACCTTATAAATTGCAAGAATTAGTAAAGGAATTCCAGAAAAAAATCTTATATGATTATCACTCGATACTATGTGCTTACTGTTCCATTTTGATGTTGAGTCAGGCAACATATTGAATTGACCACAATGAATCCAAAAATTATACATTACCAATTGCTTTTCAAAATGTTAAAATCGCAACTCATGAAAATAACAGAGGCAAAAAAAAAGTTGCTGTGTGTTCTTCGTGCAGAAATGAAAAAAACTGTCGATACCCTCCAATTTTATTTCCAATACCAAAAGAAATTGATGATATACCCATGGTCAGGGTTGGCAATGGATAAGGCCCATTGGGAAAATTATTAATGGAGCCAATGGAGTGAATAGAATAGCATCTATTGGCTTCATTGGCTCCATTAACTTTATTGAACCAACCAATCATATATATATTATTATAGTAGTAATTATACAGTATTTTAATTTATATAATCACTAATAACTTTTGATCGACTGATCCGTTTTAGATGAATTAACTACCAATATGTTCGTCTTCATGAGAGAATTCTAGCAAAGTCAAAATTGCTAAAATCTAATCACAGGATTCCAAGATTCCTCAAATGTTGTGTAATTTTAATAAGAGTTTTTAACTTATAAATTCACACAAAATTTGAGCGATCTTGAGATCCTGTAATTGGATTTTAATTATTTTTACTTAGTTAGAATCCTCTCACTAAGACGAACATTTTGGTAGTTAATTCATCTAAAACAGATCAGTGGATCAAAAGTTATCAGCAATTTTATAAATTAAAATATAAAATATATAATATATACTGTATATTATAATTTAAAGTATATATAGTATTTTATTAGACTCCATTGGCTTCATTGACAAATTATTCTCAATGGAGCAATGGAGCAATGTCAATGGAGGTCTACTCCATTAGGCCCAATAGATAAATGTGCCAATCCTGCCCATAGTGTATCATAAACATCTCTCACCCATTCATATGAGTTGTATGTTAAGTCGTACTCCAGGATCAAATTCATATACAAATTACCAACACTTACAAGGATTGATTAGACTTTCAAAAAATATATACGCTCTTGAATTACATTCAGGTTTAATTAGAGCATTAATAGACCAAGAAACATCACATTGGTTTCATCACACATTAATACCTGTGAGTGAATGGTTAAAACAAAATAACCCGATATTTGAAAAATACAATCAAGTAAATACACTCGCGCAAGTATCAGAAACTAGTGAGATCAATCAAACTTTTCTCATTGCGAAACCAATCAATGCACCGTTACTCATAATACAACCGCCTTCTATAGCCATACCAAATCACGAATTTCCTATAGAAATTCATAATGAAGATTATAGATACCAACGATTAATAGCAGGGTTTTTGAAAGCAGATAATAACTTAGAATTACCAATATCAAATAACGATCCAGACATTGAAGCGTTGTTATTTCCTGACCTTTTTCCAAGTGGTCGTTATCATTATGAAGACTCAAAAAAATTATTAGATTTCAAACAAAACATTGATAGTTATGATAAATATATTAAATTACGAATGTTATACCCTGATCCAAGGTTTAGACTTCATTGGTATTGGCCATATTGGTCATATCTAAACCTTGAAAAAAAACGCAATTATCAAAATCAAAACAGAATCTTGAAACAAAAAAATGTTATGCATATTATACTGCCAACTAGAAATGATTTAATAACTTCGAGTGTCTACACAAGTCAACCAATTATTAATAAAAGCTTAACAATAACACTACCGTCATATATTCGAACTGCTGAACCTTTTTTTAAAAAAAAACAGTATCAAGTAAACACAATGCTTCAAACCTACGGTCTACCCCAGATCTTCTATACAATGACTATGGGTGAAGATAAATGGTCGCATTTAAAAGAGATACTAAGTAGCACAGATAACAAAGACCCATTGCCAACTAACAGACCATTACATGTGTATCTGCATTACCACAACAAACTATCAAATATACGTAATAAACTTTGGAAAGATCTAAAAATTGTCCAATGGGAAAGGTATCTAAATTATTTTGAAAGAGATGAATTTCAAAACAGAGGAACTATACATACCCATGGATTCGCGTATACCGAAACGAAAATATCTGAATTAATTAAAAAAAATACCATACGTGCAGATATGCCTGATCCGATTACTGAAAAATCACTTTATGATTTAGTAACCACATATCAGATACATCAATGTATTGAAGAAAAATGCGGTGGTCCGAGAACTGATTCAAGACCTTGTAAAAAAGGGTTTCCTTAACCCTTATCAAATTATACATATTGTAAGCCAGGTTCAAAAAGATATATATATAGAAGAACAAAAGAAATTGATCAATAGATAGTTCCATACCATCCTGAAACACTATTTATATAGCAAGATCACATAAACTTTCAATATGTGACTACTCTTAGGTTTGGAAAATACGTAACAAAATATGCCACCAAACCCGAACCAACAGAACTATTCGAAATAATGAAAGAAAATACCTATAGAAATTACATACAAGCCAGAAGATTAGGATCAATAGAGCTTACAGTACTACTCCTACAATATCCAATAACGAGATCCTCAATGTCTGTACAGTACCTTTCTTCAGCGCCAACAGAATTAAGAATTAGATCGGTAAAACCAATCTATATGCAAGCTCAAGATAACCAAGACATTGATAAAAATGAAAATGACAAACCATACTTTGACGATGCCATCGATAAATATTTCGATAGACCTCAAAATAACACATTCGAATCAATGACTGACCCTGATTATTTTAAAAACTTCAATATAAAAAATTCACCACCAGGGCAACGATCAAAACTCTCAATATTTCGGGACCTTAAGAACAGATATGTTACTGAAAGAAAAAAATCCTTATTATTAAGATTCACGAGCTACAAAGTTGATGACGGCGAACCTTTTTTTTTCAACAATTAATCATGAACATTCCAGCACGTTCTGAAGATGAATTACTAGAAAACAACAATAGTTTTCATGAAAGATTTCAAAAAAAATATCTGGAAAAATATCAACAGATATTAAACAAACAATCCAAAAATACCATAATATCCAAAAGTGCATTCTCAAAAGCATTTAAACAAACAATCAAAACTCTATTAAAAGATTTGGATAAAGATGAACTCTGGGACATCATTTTTAGACAACTCATGACATTAGAAAAAACTCCACAAACTTATTTAATGATACTAACCCTAGACGAAGATCAATACAAAACCTATAACTCACTAAGCAACTGCTGGGTTTTTGAAAAAAAATAACAAATATCTCTATTTTTTTATGATGGGACCAGCAGGCAATGGTAAATCATATATGATTTCGCATATAATCAACATGCTCAAATCAAAAAAAATAAACTACTTACTATTAGCTTCAACCAGAGTATCTGCTCAAAGTATAGGAGGTAAAACAATTCACTCTGCACTTAAAATAAGGCAATTTAACAATCGCTATCAAACCCTTGCATTAAGTGATGAAGAATTCAAATTCGAACTCTTTCAAATCAAAGCCATCATAATCGATGAAATATCAATGATATCAAATGAACTCTTAGACTTCATAAGTAATATATTTGTTTCATTACACCAAAATTTTAAACCATTTTGGAGGAATCCCTATTCTCGTAGTTGGCGATCTCTTCCAACTACCTCCCGTAAATGGTCAACAAATATTCTACTCACAAACTTGAAAACTGTTCTTTCCGTTATTCCTATCAAATCCAAAAAGACAAAAAGACGATTTAGACTTCTACAACCTTTTGCAAGAAGTAAGACTCAGACAACTCTCAAACAAATCAAGATCGATGATAGAAGAAAAAATTTCAGATTCAATAAACCTCGATTTAATAATAAATTCCACCCATATTGTAGGCCTTCGACAAACAGCAAACCAAATCAATTCGATTATTTGTGACTGCCTACCTTGCAGTGACAAAAATCTTGACATAATCATATCGAAACCTGTAGATCGTTATAATAACCAAATAATTGATAATTACAATGATCCACTAAAATTTAAACACTATACAAATCTTCCTGACCTCCTTACATTACAAGAAGGCACACGAATAATGTACCTAAACAATAAATTATTTGAACATGGAATATGCAACAGAACAATCAGAATAATAACAAAACTAATAAATGAAGAAAATATTGAAATTACTTTTCCAGTGAATGACAACATAACAAAGATCAGCGTTGAAAAAACAACATCACACTTTACCATTAATGGAATCCTCGCATCAAAAGAACAATATCCAATACAAAATGCTTTCGCTCTGACTGTTCACAAAACACAAGGCCTCACATTACCTCAGACAACTCTAACAATAGACGAAGACATGTTTGCAGATAGACAAGTATATGTAGCGATGAGTAGAGCCCTTCCTGGAAATCAATAAAAATTCTTTCGTTCGACTTCAATCAAATAAAGGTAAACGAACCTATTATAAAT